AGGATTTGCCCTGGATCTTTCAAAGATCTTTTAGATCTGCCCAGCCTGCCTTTTGGAAAGAATATTTAAAGAGCAAGGGTGGAAAAGTAAAAATTTCTGCATGCATTATTAATAAAAATCACATTTACCCCACTAGCTACTGCCTTTACTGTAAGCCATTTGATAGTGACCTAGGGCAAGCCATTTATCTGCCATCGACCTCCATTTTCTTACAAGTGTTCTACACAGGGCTGCGGTGATGGCTAAACAAGACTGTGCATGTAAAGAACTTAACTCAGGTCTGGTCAGGGTAAGCACTGGGTGAAAGTTGTTATTATTGGTCGTGTTAATAAGTATGGTCTCAGAGTAGAATGCTTGCTAGTGCCTCATTTATTTAACTTCTTTCCTAAAGGATTATGTTAGAGTTAGCAAAGAATGACTTGACTGAGGACCTTTCTATGAATTTTAGAGTTCTATAACCCAGGCCAGAAATAGGAAGAGATTAATGTTGCCTTGGCAAAATACTGGGGGAGAACCTCTGTTGCCTAAGCTGGCCTCCCTGCAGTTCACGCCCTAGACTCTTTCCGTCTGTCAGGAGAGCACTGGGAGCCCTGGACTTTCCCTTCTCATCCCTCCTCCCCTCTTTCTCAGGGTCTGTAGGTGAGTCTGGCAAGGAAGCACTAGGTAAATGCCAGAGCAGCTTCTCATTGCTCTGACTTAATTGCATGTCCTTAGCAAGGCAAGACCATCGTGGACCAGGCGTATATTAACCTGAGTGGATGAGTGCCTGTCCGAGCCTTGTTCAGTCTAATCGGACGCAATTCAACAGGCCCTGGGGGTACAGGGATGAACTGTGGCTGATCCTGCATCTGGGAAGCCCATCTATAGTGATTTGTGTTTTGTTTTTTTTCCCCCTTGAGCTGGGGGTGGTTGTGCTCAAGATCAAACCCAGGGTCTTGTGCATACTAGGCAAGTAAGTGCTCCACCATTGAGCCAGCCCCAGCCCTGAGCCAGGCTCTGAAGGCTACGATCTGAGTTACTTAGAAGGTAGAAAGAAAGGAGTGCAAGCAGTTGGAAAAGCAGGTGTTGGGGGACAGGTAGGAATTGCTGTCATGTGTGGAAATGGAGAATGGTTTTAATCTCAACTTCAGTATGCAACTGCCTCAGCTTGCAGGCCTGGGCTCCATGCTACAGGAGTATAGTAGGGCTTTTTTCATCAGGCAGTGGAAGGGTTAGGTGAGAAGATGCAAGTAAAGGGCTTAGTGTTAATACTGGAAACATAGTAAGTGTCAGTGAGTGCCAGTGACCATCAGTATTATTATTGTCATGTACTTTTATAAATTGACCTTCTAATTGTCCGACTTGACCAAGGCTTTGCAAGTGACAAATTGGAGATCTGCTGGAATTTTTATTATACTTTAGTTCTCTTTTAGGCTACTGGTGAAATAGTGCAGTAGAGTCACAATTCATGGAAAAAATGATTAACTCAGCAAAATGGAGAGGGAGCTCAGTGAACCTCAGTGGAACTTGGAGAGGTAGGTCTTGAACTGAGTGAGCTTGAGATGGAAGAATTTTGGCCCCAACATAACCACACATTGCTTTGCTGAACCCTTTTGGAAAGAGAAGAAGGACTGAGTATTGTGCAGGGATGTTGAATCAGAAAATGAGACTAAAAACAAGTTAAGACTGCATTGTGAGGAGCTGCACAGGGCTGGGAATGCCCTAGGACTGGCTGCAGGGATTGAAATGGGCCCTGAGGCCGGGGCCCGAGTTGCCGGAGTCCTTCTTCATGAGTGGCATGGCACCCTCTCCGTTGGTGTCTCAAACACTCAGTACTGAGTGGGGTGACTCTCAGAGCTGTCCCTGTAGCTTCATAGGTACAGAATGACTGGCTGGCCTTCAAAGAGAGGGATACCCAGTAGCTCCATTGAAAAGACAAGTTGTGCAGAGTGTGGAGTTTCATTCTTAAGTTTGCTTCACCCAAGAGAACCAACCTGTCGGGGTTGGAAGCAATTGTAAGTGGGGTCAGAAGAAATGGAGTTAGGCACCCTGTTAATGCATATTTCTGGAGAATATACCTACAGATGACATATAAACTGCTTTTGAATTTTTGGTTACAATTTTTCATTGGGGAGAAGAGACTTAGAAAAAAGCAGTATAGGCTCAGGCTGGGTGTGGTGGTGCACACCTGTAATCCCAGAGACTGAGTGAGGAGGCTGAGGCAGGAGGGCCACAAGTTTGAGGCCAGCCTCAGCAATTTAGCAAGGCCCTAAGCAACTCAGTGAGACCCTGCCTCAAAATGAAAAATAACAAAGGTCTGAGAATGTGGCTCATCCCCAGTACCAAAAGAAAGGAAGGAAAAAAAGAAAAGAAAGAATCATGGCTGCCTACAGGAGACAGGCCCAGAAGGAAAATAAGTGATGACACCAGGTAGGTCCTGTGGAAAGCATACACAAATGACAAGAGGTAGCCCAGTTACCTCCTGCAAGAGAGCTGTCCCCTGGGGCCTGATTTTTGACTTTCCAAGAGAGATTAGAAATTAGGAATTTTATGTGAATCTTCCTGGGTTTTGAAAATTAGAAACAAATTCATATTTTCCCCCCAAGGTCACCAGGCAAAATAGCCAGAAAAAAATGGATTATTTTAAGCTTGTAGGTGGAAAGAAAACATGTCACTTGGGCACTAAGTGGCTCAGCTACATGACCCTGCTGGTCTTGGTGTCAGGCTCCAAACTTGGCAGGGAGCACATACTCAACATTGAGTAAATTAATCAGCTTGGGGAAACCTCTCTTGCTTTCAGTCCTTTCGTATATAGAAGGAAGAGACTGCAATCGTCCTTCAAGGCTTCCAATTTTTTCCCAGCTCTAATTTAGAAAATAGAATCGAGTCACCACCTTGGTAGTGCTCCCTGTGGGGCCTCGTCTCCAACATTTTTTCTTCCCTCGCTGGCCTCCCCTAGTGCCTAGAGTACCATCTCTCTCTAATGCTCGGCGATTTGCCTAAAAGTTAAGGTTTAAGACATAAAAAGAAAATTTATACTGCTATCCTTCAAAACAAGACTGACTTGCTTTAAGCGCCTTGTTCTTCCTTTATCATGGTCAGGAGCTACTTGCTGAATTTGGACAGGCTACATTATATCTCAAAGGGTGATCCAGATTACGCCTGAAGTGCAACCAGGCTGTCAGAGAGCGAGGAAGGCAGCTAGTGGGAGAGCACTTGACCAGCATGTGCAGGGCCCTCCTTGGGTGCCCCGCTGTCCTCTGAAGGCATCACCATGGGTGGGGTGGATGGCTCTCTTGACCATAAAATCTGAATACACTGTCTCTGTCATGGTATTTTGTAACTTACTTTGGGTGATTTTTCATAGCTGTAAAATGTTTATGATGCAAAGCAATTAATTTTGGCTCAAGACAGACATTTTAAGTAAGATAGTGGCTTTTATGGGAAGGAAGGCAGAACAAGGACAGTAAAATGGAAATCAGAAATTCTTTAAAAAGTAGGAGATTGGCCAAGAATTAGAAATCTGGAGGAGAAAAACATCTGGTTTATAGAGATTGTAGGAATGACTTTAAGCATTACCAAGTAACATTTTGTGAATAAATAAAACTGAAACTGTTTTTTTAAAGGGAGAGGGGAAGGGGATGATCTAGGAATAACTTAAAAGCCAATAAAGATGATTATGAATAAATGGATAAAACATGGCGTAGAATTTCAGTCACTAAGTCAGGCACAGTGGCACACGCCTGTAAATCCCAGCAGCTTGGAAGGCTGAGGCAGGAGGATCACAAGTTCAAAGCCAGCCTCAGCAACTTAGCAAGACCCATGCAACTGAGTGAGACCCTATCTCAAAATATTAAAAAGGGCTAGGGTTATGGCTTAGTGGTTAAGTGCTTTTGGGTTCAATCCCTGGTACGCCCCCCCCCCCCCACACACACACACAAAAAAAAGAATTCAATCACTCAGATATTTTAAAGAGATGCTTTATTAGCGCCTTAGTATCCCAAGCCATAGAAATGTTTGGGTTATCATCTTAGAGTTTATGAAAATAAATAAAAATTGAGCAAAGCAATATTCATATTGCCTGACCTTGGTATATATAGCCAGTGAAGATTATAGGAAATGAAGTGTATTTGCAGCGAATTTTCCATAGGAAATCAGCCTGCCTTGTGCTGTATACTTTGACAGCATCTACCCTGTAGCTGTGTCATTGCCTGTATTGGCTACTTTTTTTCTTCTGCTGCATGTCAAAGTTGAAAACCAACTCAATTTCTACCTCTGGTTTGCTAATTCCCAATCCTTTGGAATCCTCCCCAAATTGAGTAGTACCCACATTTCACTTGAAATACCCGTATGCATGTGTGTGCACAACTATGAAGAGTGCATAGCTTCCTTGTGCTTTTTAGGAAGAGGATTTGAGTTTTTTGTTTTCCTGTCTATAGTATGAACAATTGCTTCTTTAAACTGCTGAATGATAAAGGACAGAGGGAGCTCTCCAAATAGTGTTCTTATTCAGAATGTGTGTGTGTGTTACATCTATGATTCTGACAGGTTTCATAGGAGCAGGCTTTCTGAATAGCTATTTTTAAAATTAAGTGAAAACTCATTAGTGGCAAATTACACACAATGATTTTAAGCCCCAGGAGGCTGACTCTATGTACATATTGAGTAGTCATTTGTTCTTAGTTTATTGTAAATACAGCCAATTAAATTCATTGTTAAAAATTAATGAATTACATTTGTCGTAAAATTGGTAAAGCGCCTTGAATTTTATCTGTTTGACATTTCAAAGCACAAGTAATAATTTCAGAACACCTGGTAACTAATAAGATTACAGATTTCTTTTTTTTTTTTTGGTGGTGGTGCTAGGGATTGAACCCAGGACCTTGAACACCCTAGCAAGTGCTGTACCACTGAGCCACATCCCTGGTCCTAAGATTTATAAACTTCAGATTAGCTTTATCCACTGTTTCATCCCTTTTCTTTTTCTTTTTTTTTTTTTTTTTTTTTTTTGATCTGAACAGAATTAAGAAGAAGGAGCATCCACAATCACAGCAGATGAAGATCCACTGGTAAATTATCAGGATTTTTGGCCTGCCCTCTAAAGAAAAGGTAACTGGCTGTTCTGACATAGCAAAGTTGAATAAATGCAATACTTCTAATTATAAGATTATAGTAGAGTTGAAGTTTTACCCAAAGAATGATAGTATTTAATATAAGATATCTGAGTTAGATCTTAAATTTTAAGCATAACCCTGAATATGATCTTCCTAATATAAAATGACAGTGAATTGAAGGCGTGGGATACTATTAGATGTTTGTTTCTCAACACACAAAAATACTAAATAACAAGCCTAACCCCAAAACATTTGTAAAAGTCGCAGGAAGGGATTCGAGATAGAATTCCCCTCTCTCCCCAGCTCTACCCTCTTTGTCCGGGGAGGTTGTCAAAGGTGTGCCTTGTGGTTTTCTCCTTAGCTCTTGTTCTCTTCTCTCCCACACAATGAAGACCCAGCTGGTAAGGGCAGGGGAAATGCCAAACAGGACTGTCACACAGGCAGGACTTCTTCAGGCACACTTTCTGGGCCTAGTGCCCTTGCCCAGGCTGCCAGATAGTCCTGTGCTCGGGAGCAGCATTGGATCATTATGAAAATAGCAGCCACCATTGATGGAGTTTCTCACTACGCCGTCACCATCATGCATTTGCTATTTGGGGAATGGCTGAATTTCACAGAATGAGAAAAAGGATAATATTCCTGGAAGAGTTTTAATTTAAAAAAAAATCCATTCTTCCATCTACTCAAAGGAATGAGGGGGTTTACAAGTTAAGATACATTTTAACATGAATCATTGAAGGATAAAACTGAACAGAATCCAAACAGGAAAGACCAAAAGAATTTCAGCCTCTGGAATTGATCAACTTACATTACTCAGGCAACAAATGTGATGTCTCAATCAGCCTTTAAGCAACTATGGCAAAAATGGAAACATTTTGTATGACATGCACATTCATCTGCAAAGATAGCATTTTACTATTATTAAACCATAACTGGAGCTTCAGGAAAGTGGCAGTTCTGTTTCAGTGTTTAAAAGAACTGAGCAGCTATGAAGCCTCACCTTCAAAATAGGCCCTTAGGATTCTTTGGCCTTCAGCTGAAGGACTACAGTGCAGGGGCATCAGAGGCACCACAGTGGATGGTGTTCATTGTGGACTCTCTGCCAGGTGCTCTCCTGTATGGTGGTGACCCCCTGGCAGTGGAGAGATCTGGAAAGACGGGAGGAGGAAGCACACTTTACAGAATGCCAAGGGAGCTCTTTAGTCCAGAACTATTTACTGAGATTCTACCGTGTTCAAACAGATTTTCCCCAGGAGAAAAAGGAGAATAGGAGGTGATTTCCATGAACTATAATTATGACATGCTTTTTTGAATATTATAGCAATGGAGATTAATGTGATACCAGGACATGAATGACAAGTGGCAGGGAAAGAACAAGAATTACAAACCAAAAAGTCTGCAGGACCTGACAGGAAGGGGAATCAAATGGGCTGGGTGGAACAGTGAGAAATTGACAAGTTCATGACCAGTCTGAAGTAGCAGCCCCTTCTCAGTACTGATTGTGGCCCAATAAGTCCCAAATTGAACACCAACCAACTTACATGCTGTGTTCCTTGCTGGATGCTGGAGCTAAATGAGCAAATCAAGGGGATAAAGGTCCCTCCCATTGAATTAGCACTTATCTTTTTGGTATCAACAAATGAAAATCATATGTGTCTGGGCTGGGGATGTGGCTCAGTGGTAGAGTACTTTCTTAGCATGTGTGAGGCCCCTGGATTCAATCCCTAGCATTGCAAAAAAATAAAAAAATTATATTTATCATGTGTAGCATATTGTTTTGAAATATGTATATGTGTGAAATGGCTAAACTCAACTAATTAACAGATACATGACCCCACATACCTAATCACTTTTTTGTGATAAGAACTTTTAAGACCTCTGGTCGTAGAAGTTTTTAAGGATCCATTATTAACTAGAGTCACTTTAAAGAAGAAAAAAATCCCTTTTATTTAATTGAGATTTTTGTCTCATTTTCCCAGCATCTCCCTCTCCACCTCCAGCCACTGGTGGTTCAAACTCTTCTACATTCCGCATATAAGTGAGATGATCCTGTGTCTGTCTTTCTGAGTGCCATATTTTACTTAGTCTGTGTCCTCCAGGTTCATCCATGTTCTCATAAGTGACAGGATTTCCTTCTTTTTTTAAGGCTAAATAATATTTCATTGTGTGCATAAACTACCATTTCCTTACCCATTATTCCGCTGATGAACACTCAGGTTAATTCCCTAACTTGTTGTGAATAAAGCTGTAATGAACATGAGTATGAAGGCCTGTCTTCAGTATGATGTCATTTCCTTTGTGTATATACTCAGTAGTGCTCATGCCAGGTTATATGGTTCTATTTTTGATTTTCTGAGGAACCTCCATATTGTTTTCAATAATGGCCATACTTTTTAATGAGAGAAACAGACAGTAGAGAGCAGACACAAATAAATGCATTATATATTTATTATATGATAATAATTAGCAAAAAACAAAAACAGGGTAAGGAAAATTAGGAACACTGATGAGAGATGGGACTTGAAGTTTTAAATGGGAGTGATCGTGGTAGGACTTCGAGAAGGTGAGATTTGAGCATTAAAGTCGAGCTCTCTGGGGAAGAGCGAATGGACTGTGCAGAGACTAAAAGCAGATGCCTGCATCGGCTCTGCAAGCCACAGAAAGGAGGGGGCCAGATCTGAGTGGTGAGTTGGGAGAAAAGGGTAGGAAATGAAGGCAGACAGGTAATAGGGCCCAGGGTATGTGGCCTTAGTGACCATTGAACAGGCTTTGGCATTTATTCTGAGAGATGTGGGATATCATTGGAAGATTCTAAGAAGAGTGACTTGATTTGACTTCTGTTTTAATAAAATCACTGAGGCCATTATAGTAAGATAGGCTGTAGGGGACAAGGCAAAAATGGGGAGACCAGTTAAATTGTGGCTATGATAATAACCCAGGCAAGAGATGACAATTTTGCCGGATCTCCAAAAATTTTAAGGGAAATGAAATCTGGACTGAAATTACTATTTTAAGAAAATAACAAAGTTTGAATCAACCTAAATAAGGCTGTGAGATTCTGTTATGTGCTTATTGTTTGCTACGTCAGCTATAGAATTGGTGATGTAATTCAGAGGAAGGTGAAGACTTTGGTTCAGACTAAATTGGAAAAGAAAACAGTTGATTTTACACGAAATGAAAGCTTGCTTTTTGATCAGTGCAGGAGACCAAGGAAAGTGACTATTCACAATAGCTAGAAGGTGGAAACAATCCAAATGTCCATCAACTGATCAACAAACTGTGGGATAGAGCATAGTGGAATAGAGCAATTCCCTACTTTATCCAGAGGGGATGTGTTCCAAGACTCCAGTGGATGCTAGAAACCACAAATAATACCAAACTTTTCTTCTGTGAAGTGTCTGTCCAGTTTCTTAGTCCATTTATTGACTGGATTTTTTTTGTTTGTTTGTTAAGTTTTTTGGGTTCTGTGTGTATCCTAGAGATTAATTATCCGAGGTGCATTAATTATCAGAGGTCTATTTTGTAGGCTCTTTCCTTACATTTTTTATTGTTTTCCTTTGCTGAGAAGAAGCATTTTAATTTGAATCCATCCCATTTATTGATTCTTAATTTTACTTCTTGCGCTTTAGGAGTCTTGTTAAGGAAGTCAGATCCTAGGCCGACATGGTGAAGATTTGGGCCTATTTTTTCTTCTATTAGGTTCACGGTCTTCTGTTCTGGTGCCTAAGTCTTTGATGCACTTTGAGCTGATTTTTGTGCAGTGTGTGAGAGAGAGAGGTTTGATTTCATTTTGCTACATATGGATTTCCAGTTTTGTCAGTACCATTTGTTGAATAGGCTGTCTTTTCTCCAGTGAATGTTTTTGGCACCTTTGTCTGGTATGACACAACTGTATTTATGTGCTTTTGTCTCTGTGTCTTCTAGTCTGTACCACTGGTGTACAAGTCCATTTTGGTGCCAATAGCATGCCGTTTTTGTCACTGTAGCTCTGTAGTATAGTTTAAGGTCTAGTATTGTGATGCTTCCTGTTTTACTTTTCTTGCTAAGGATTGTTTTAGATATTCTGGGTCTCTTATTGTTTCAAATAAATTTTATGATTGCTTTTTCTATTGTATGAAAAATGTCATTGGGATTTTAATTGGAATTGCATTAAATCTGTATAACACTTTTGTTAGTATCATCATTTGACAATATTAATTCTGCCTATCCAGGAGCATGGAAGATCTTTCCATCTTCTGAGGTTTTATTCAATTTCTTTCTTTAGTTTTCATTGTAGAGATCTTTCACCTCTTTTGTTAGATTGATTCCCAGGTTTTTTTGTTTGTTTGTTTGTTTGTTTTTTGGAGGCTATTGTGAATGGGGTAGTTTTCCTAATTTCTTTTTCAGTGGATTCATCGCTAATGTATAGGAATGCATTTGATTTATGTGTTGTTGATTTTATATCCTGCTGCTGAATTCATTTATTAATTCTAGAAGTTTTCCGGTGGATTTTTTTTGGATCATCTAGATATAGAATCATGTCATCAGCAAATAAGGATAGTTTGAGTTCTTCTTTATCTATTTGTATCCCTTTAATTTCTTTCTTCTAATTGCTCTGGCTAGAGTTTCAAAGATGATGTTGAATAGAAGTGGTAAAAGAGGACATCCTTGTCTTGTTCCAGTTTTTAGAGGGAATGCTTTCAATTTTTCTCCATTTAGAATGATGCTGGCCTTGGGTTTAGCATAGATAGCTTTTACAATGTTGAGGTGTGTTCCTACTATCCCTAGTTTTTCTAGTGTTTTGAACATGAAGGGTGCTATGTTTTGTCAAATGCTTTTTCTGTATCCACTGAGATGATCATGTGAGTCTTGTTTTTAAGTCTATTAATATGATGAATTATGTTTATTGATATCCATATGTTGAACCAATGTTGCATCTCTGGGATGAACTAAACTTTATCGTGTGCACTATGTTTTTAATGTTTTTGTATAAAATTTGCCAGAATTTTATTGAGA